TGATGATTCAGAGAAATTGGTAAGCTCCGATTATTTGTACTGATTGAAAATTGGGACCCTGAAGGTTGATTACCCTACTGGTTCATGTTAATTTCTCAGCCACAAAGTGTGGAGGCAGATACAGGAACCATTTTTTTTGTGCTTCAGTTTTTATAGATAGCTGGCTAATTCGCATAAGAGTTCACAGTTTACATGATACTGACATAGTTACTGTGCTGATCCCTGTTGGGACTGATACAATGCTTTTTACTTTCAACACTTAGTGTTACCCGTTATGATGCACAAACTCACACCGCCTGTTACATTACATTATTAAGGATACTTTTTTTTTTAAATCTTAATTGGAATTGCTCATATTCTCAGGGCTTTGGAGGTCAGTTGCGTAAACCAAAAGGTGTAAATGATTATGCATCAACAGCTGATCTGGATACCTCTGCTGATCCTACTGAACAGAAAGACCTATCTGCTCTTGGTCAGCGAATGTCATCACCTTGGACATTGCAGGACTCTATCGGTGTTGACAGGCTGACCCCTTCTGGTACTCCTGTCATTAGTTCGGTTCATTCAGAGCGTTATGCTTCAAGTTTAAGTGGGCTATCGACAAGTGGAGATTCTTCTGTGGCCAGGATCGGAAGTAGAGCACAAGTAGCGTCTTCTCGAATCGGAACGTCATGTCTAGGGTTTAATGCAGCAGCGGGGCCTACTGGAGCTTTAGGGAAACAACAGCTTCAGTCTGTGAGAGCTGCATCACCATCTGAACAGTCATCGATGCACCAATATTCTCCTTCACCTACATCTGCAGTACATCCCCGTCATCACTCGCAAAGTTTAGCTGACCAAGACTTTGCTGAGGACCCTTTGCCAATTCCGACTCCCAATGTTCGATTGGGCAGCAAAGCAAAAACACAGCCTCAAGATATATCTTCGTCAATTCCTGACATCCAATCAAGTCACAAATACCCCTTTCGACAACAACCAGACAGTATAGAGTCTGAATCCTTCGGTCGCATTAAGAAGCCTCATGTGCCACAGGTCTCTACTTTTTCAACTCCCTCAACTGTTGGAGATTCTATACCAGGTCTTTCAAATGTCCTTGCTGCAGAATCCTCAGGACAGTTGAGCACAAGTAGTTTGTTGGCTGCTGTTATGAAGACTGGAATACTCTCTGACAAATCAATTACTTGTAGCCTGCCCAATTTGAATCGTCGGGACATGGGACATATTCCATCAGAGTCTGGTGTTCAGCCTCCCTTGCAAAGTGGACCCTCCCCTACCCTTGCACTCCCAGGGCCCAAGGTTGCATCAGCACCTTCATCAGGTCACCTTTCTGGTGAGAACTCGCCAGCTTCCTCAAATGTATCACAGAAGAAGGTAGCACATCTGCCAATTCCACCTAGCCAACCTCCTTCCTCTCTTGATGGCAGTGCGTCAGAAAGTTCAACTGTGGTGAATAATGCCTCAGATCCAATTTCAAACCTTTTAAGCTCCTTAGTTGCAAAGGGTTTGATATCTGCATCAAAGTCGGAGTCACCCACTCCCGTGCCATCCCAAAAGCTGACTGAACCGCACAACAAGAGCCTAGGTGCACCTGCCTCCAAATCAGTGACAGTATCTCCAGTTTCAGTTTCAGTCTCTCCAAGTCGTCCTGTTACATCCCAAACTGATGATGCATCTCTCCCAGAGCCTGTAGCTAAAACATCTGCTGCCTTACCTCAATCTACCAAGACGGAAATAAGAAACCTCATAGGCGTTGCCTTTAAGCCAGATAAAATCCGAGAATTTCATCCAGCTGTGATAGATGAACTTTTTAATGACCTTCCACATACGTGTAGCATATGTGGCCTTAGGCTCAAACTTAAAGAACGACTTGAGAGACATTTGGAATGGCATGCTTCGAAAAATCCCGAAGGTAATGGTTCAGTTATGGCATCAAGGAAGTGGTATCCAGATTTAACCAGCTGGGTTGCTGGAAGGACAGGACCCCCTTTGGTACTGGAGGCCATCAATTCAATAGACGAGCCTAACGAGATGATGGATAGTGATGAGCCCATAGTTCCAGCAGATGAAAACCAATGTGTATGTGTTATATGTGGTGGTATTTTTGAAGATTTTTACTGTCAAGAGAGGGATGAATGGATGTTCAAAGGAGCTTCGTACATGAGTATTCCATCTGGGGCCGGTGAGATGGAAACCACAGAGGAGAGTGTTTTGAAAGGTCCCATTGTGCATGCAAATTGTACAGTGGAAAGTTCACTCTCTGATAGCCATGTTAAATTGGTATGCTGTTGTTAATTAGCATGTGGGAAAAATAATTGTCAATTTTTGGGCCCTTCTTTTATTAATCTTCTACCTTCAATTTTCGACTTTAGATGCTAAGATCTTACCTCTTACTTTTGGCAGGAACCGGATGCTTAGTGCTTGAAGCTCGAAGCTGAAGAGACAAACTCCATGCATTCCGAACTTATGAGGGAAATCCAGGTTTATATAAACGTGTTTTTAGATGTGAATCTTCAATGCCCTTTTTTCTTGTGCCACAAAATAGTGGTGAGAGCTTTCGACTAGCTTCTCCTCTACAATTTTCCTTTTGTTTAAGTCATAGTTTGAGAGAAGAAGAAATACATCCGTTTGCGAGATAGTTTCCATCTCAATGATCTTTCTTATGTGGTTGATGTTTTGCTATATTTGTTACGTTTTTTTACCTCTCTGAAGCGGTTTTGCGCTTGATAGATGCATTTGTGGAGATCTTTCATCATAATTTAGTGCCATTTTTTTTGGCTTCTGTAGTGTTTGTTTATGATCCGTCGTGGATTGAATTGGAATGGATAAACTACTAATTGAAGGAATCTCGAAGTACTAAAAAAATTGTTTCCAACTCGAAGGTTGAGGGCGGAACGCTTGTTAGGGAAAGCTTAATCTGTTGCAAAGCCCCCCCAAAGTGGGAGGGTTAGAAGGGATTAGTTTCTTTTATGTCTGATCCCGTTCTAATCCCTCTCAAAATGAAAAATTAGTATCATCTATTTGAAAGATTTCATCCATTACAATTCAATCTTAGACAGCAAACGAGGCTTAATTGTTCCGCGAAAGTATTATGTTTTGCAAGAATTTTGTTACGGTGGTTACATGGCATATGTGTGGAGCCTACATATCCAATCGTATGGTGCCACCAGATGCATGAATGATGAAAACATTTTTCTTATTTGCACAAGCCAATATTTCTTACAAGGATGCCCTTTCTTAGATCTCTCATCCCACTTTGAAAGATTACTCTCTCAAATCTTAGTCTTTCTTTCTTGCGCTCAATAATTCAGTATTATTCCCTGCTCAATTTAACTTCATGAATTCAACCTTTTTCTGAGAATATATTCTAAATCAATCATAAGAAAGGTTCAATGTCTAAGTGAAAGTTATAGGATGGTACTTGTCAAACTAGGGTGAATCGGTTCCAATTTAAAAATCCAATCCAATTTTCAATTTAATTTCCAGTTCTCAAATTAAATTCACATTCACATCACATATCAAACTATCATACTCATATGCAACTAAAACGATAAATAAAAAGTGCACAAGGATGTAGGATTTAACGAAGCAAAACCCACCACTGGGAAAATCCTCGGGCTCCTAAGCTAGGACAAACACTAAGAGAAATGAGTACAAAATGACTTACAAAACTCATCAACTAGACACGCATACTAGTAGGCAGTTTTGTCTCCGCGCTTTACTACTCGATCTCTCTTCAGCCTTTGAGTGGAAGTGGCACGACACCAAAGCGGCCGTCAATCACTGTGTCCACGAACTTTGCAAGATACTAACGTGATTATGCAAAATATATGAAATGAAATGATTTTTGGAAATCAATCAATTATGAAAATCACAAGGCACATTTTCATAATTGATTTTGATTAAAGCACAATGCAAAATTAGTGAACAAAACTAAATTTTTCTTTAAAAGAAAAAATACGTGAATACAAACTGATTTTTCTACCATAAACCTCACGGGAAAAATATGAATTTTCTTTTTAAAACACAGGTTGCTGACCGACATGGAAAACAAACTTTCTGCTGTTATATGAATGACGATGCTTTCAGTGCATGGTGCTGTGCATCAAATGCAAACTACAATACATACCTTCAGAGCATGCAGCAATATATAAGAATATATATGTATTCTAAAACATGCAGCAAGTAATGGATCTATACAATGCATGTAGTTGTTGTAGACTATCATATATTTATGACTTAAACAATGAAAGTGCAGCAGCAATCCAAGACTAAAAAAACTTATTCTCATATAGCAACAGCATCCTTTTCACCTTCACGAAAACGCAATGGCAGCAACCACAACTCCTTTTTAACACAGACCCCTATATCAATAACATGCGGCAACAGCAAAACGAAACCCTAATGTAATCCCATCTATATATAAGCTGCAGTAGGAGACTTCAAAATGACTTAAAACTCTAAATAGATGAGATAAAAATAAAAACAAAAACATTTGAAGGTGTTAAGTAATAAGGCATAAAACTAAATTATCAAGTGACTAATCCGGATGTATATGCTAAGGTTTTGTTCACACTTGAAAGTCATGGGCTTTGATTAAATCCTAGCTATCATGTAAATAAACCCAAGTATACTCTTTTCTCTCTAGACATATCACCGTAACAATAATCATGCCAAATTGATCTAATATATTGTATAGTTAATCCTAACTACATGAATGCATATGCATGACAAACTTACTTGAATGAATGTCTTTGAAACATTTGTTATTTTAGTGATCGAGAGCATGAGAGACAAATTTAGACTAAAATAATTATAACGGAACACATGTACTAATTTAAGATATTACAGACTTAAGCATTTTGTTTGGGAATAACCAATTTTACCCCTACACTAAGAATTTCTCCCAAAACAATGGCTTTTCGTTCGGATTATGACCCTCCAACGACATTTTCGCACTCTGTTTTCACCTTCTACGCTAAAAAAATAGGAAGAGATGCATGTAAGAAAAAGAAAGTGTGAAAATCACTTTCTGACACAAAAATTCATCTCAATAATGGAGGAGGAATCAGTAATCGGCAACGTTGATACTTGATACTATATTTTCTTACTTAATATGCTTTTGCTTGCACCAAAAAAGAAAAACAAACAATTATTTATTATTTCTTATACAACTTATATACGAAAATCCGAAGTCTATGGCTTATGGTTTTGGGTGTAAATATAATCCAAGTGAGCTTCAGCAATCATCCTTCTCTGCAGACACTCTTCATCTTTCTCATCGCATTCTTCTGATCCCATCAGCTGTGAAGAAAATTACCACAAAAACCCAACAAATAATTAATCGAAGAAGAACATTCAAATATAATAATTAATTGACGAACACGCACATAAGATAAATTAAAATGGAGGAGGGCGGGATATATATATCTTACATTTACGGGATCATTGCTTCCAGTTAGTGAAGCTTTGTTTTGCTGCTGAAGACGAGCACGAGCAGATGATGGGTTGGAGAGAAGAAGAAAAATAAAGATAGAAAATATGAGAAAGTTTTGGTAATTCTTCATCTGCTTCATTGTTTCTCTTCTCTATTAGCTTCTGGATTTTGGCTTGTGGGTGGTGAGTGTGTGTGTTCTGAATAAAAAACGGAAGGAGAAGCAAAGCAGTGTATAAATAAGATGAATATAACTAACAAGGGTTTCACTCATAAGGAAGGCCAAGCACACAGTCACAAGCGGTGCAGTTTGTGGGGTCTACTCACTTCCTTCTCTTTATTTGTTTATGCCAAGAAATATAATTTAGGAATCTTAATACTATGGGCAAGGGTGCCAGAGAAAGGTAATTAAAGTTATACTAACCCTCGTGAGGACAAGAGGGATTGAGAATGTAAGCAACTACTAACCTGTAATTCAGTTTAAGACATGCTTACTTATTTAGAACGAAAATTATCGTATTGAAATTATTAGATAATAGAGCATTTGTTATTATATTTTGCTACCGATCTCTCTTATCAGATGATTAGAGGAAGATAAATAAAGAAATTACATAAATTGTTTCATATAAGTGTTTCTCTTGCTATGATCAAAGTACTTAAATAAGATATTTAGATGTAGGCGTCTCATCTTCCTACTTCATAAACCAAATAATATATACTGTTTCATATAAGTGTTTCTTTTGCTCTGATCAACAAATTTATGAAAAAGAAAAAGAAAAAAGGCATTTAGATGTTAGGCGCCTTATCTCCCTACTTCCTAACCAAACAATATATACACACTGTATGGTAGGAGTGGGTGAGATAAAGAATTTCATGGTTTACTAGTTACATGTTTATCATTGTCATGGCCATTGAGGTCCCCAAAAAAAAACAGTAAGCAAAAACAAAATGATGCAGAAAAAGGAGATATAAAGAATCCCCACGACTCAATGTTGATGCTTCTCCTTTCTCTTTAGAGGCATAGAAAGAATTAAAGAAAGAAAGAAAATAGCATATGTCTTCCCACCAAAGACAAAGTCACCGTCAACCATGTCAACTTTTGGAATTCCATCCTTGACATGCACGTATGCCCTAGACAGCTGTTTTCCATTTGACAATTTTTTTTTTAAATTCCAGACACGTACTTGATCAAGTATTTTCTAATATTGGAAGATATTCGATTCTTAATATATACGACGTCGATAGTACTGCAGATGAGTGTTCTTTCTCATTAGCTCTGAAAAACTGATCAAATCAATAACTTTCAATATGTTGAATCATATCTTTACGTTTCACTCTAACGCGTCGTGTCTCTATATCTCATCTTAACCCGTCAAATCTTTTGTATTTTGTTTGTCTATGTAGAAAAAGGTATGTAGGCTAAAAAATATATTTGTTATTGATACGTGAATGTAGAAAAATGGAAGAGAAGTGAATGTGGAAAAATGGAGGAGAATGCTTTTTTTTTCATTATTTTTCTCTACAAGATTACAAAGATATATATACATGATACAAGTGTGTAGGTAGGACAAGGTAGCCGTCCTAGTGTGTAGGTAGGACAAGGTAGGACGGCTGTAGGACGACTTGACGGCTGTAGGACGGCTAGTGTGTAGGTAGGACAAGGTAGGACGGCTGTAGGACGACTTGACGGCTGTAGGACGGCTAGTGTGTAATATTATATACAATTACACAAGGACTCCAACCATATTCCTTATTTGTCTAACACTCCCCCTCAAGTTGGAGAGTGGATGTCAAGAACTCCCAACTTGCGTAACATACCCGAAAACTTTTCTTTCCCAAGAAGTTTGGTAAACAAGTTTGCCAACTGTTGTGCCGTACCCACATGCTTGGTCTCTATTGTGCCATCTACAATCTTATTTCGTATAAAGTGACAATCCATCTCAATGTGACGAGTTCGTTCATGAAAAACAGGATTGGCAGCTATATGTAACGCTGCTTGATTATCACAAAATAAAATGGAAGGACCATCCAAAGGAATGTTCAAATCCTTCAACAAAAAACGAAGCCAAACTATCTCGCAACAAGCACCTGCCATGGCCCTATATTCCGCCTTTGCTGAAGAGAGCGAAACGGTTTTCTGTCGTTTCGTCCGCCAAGAAATCAAAGAACCGCCCAAGAATACACAATACCCAGTAGTCGAACGGCGAGTGATAAGGCAACCTGCCCAATCAGAATCACAAAACGCAGTTAACTTGGTCTGGTTGTCAGAACGAAATAATAAACCTTGACCTGGAGTAGCCTTCAAATAACGAACAATACGAAGCGCAGCATCCATATGAGATATCTTTGGCTCGTGCATAAAACGGCTTAGAACATGCACAGAATAGGTGATATCCGGCCGAGTGATAGTGAGATATATTAACCGACCTACTAATCGTCGATACTTTTCAGGATCCTTGAGAAGTTCTCCTTTATCAGATAATTTTGTGTCATCCATAGGAAAGCAATGGGTCGTGCTCCCAAAAAACCATAGTCCTTGAGAATCTTTAATGCATACTTGCGTTGAGAAATATAAATCCCTTGTTTGGAACGAGAAACCTCAATACCCAAAAAATATTTTAAATCACCAAGGTCTTTTATCCGAAAATGATCACGGAGAAAAGACTTCAGAGAATTAATGGCACTAGCATCATTGCCTGTAATCACAATATCATCCACATAAATGAGCAAGGCTGTGAAAGAAATACCAGACTTTTTAGTGAACAATGAATAGTCAGCTTTGGATTGTTGAAAACCGGCAGAAATGATGGCACTAGTGAATTTGGCAAACCATTGGCGAGAAGCCTGCTTAAGACCATAAAGTGACTTGTGAAGGCGACACAAGATTCTCCCCCTGTCGCCGAAGACCAGGAAGAGGAGACATATAGATTTCTTCATGTAAGTCACCATGTAAGAAAGCATTATTAACATCAAGCTGATGAAGAGACCAAGACTGACTAGCAGCAAAAGCAAGAAGACAACGCACCGTAATCATCGTAGCAGTAGGAGAAAAAGTGTCATGATAATCAATACCTTCAGCCTGAGTGAAGCCTTTAGCAACCAAACGAGCTTTGTAGCGGTCAATACAGCCGTCGAAATTGTGCTTGAGTTTGTACACCCACTTACAACCAATGGGAATTTTGCCAGGGGGCAAGGAAGTTAAAGTCCAAGTACCATTAGCATGTAAAGCTTGAAGCTCCTCAGTCATAGCACGTTGCCAATTGGGGTCAGTGGCAGCCTCGGCAAAGGAGGAAGGCTCCACAGTCCGACTGACAGAGTTAATGTAAGAAAAATGCCTGGGAGAGTAACGGTGATAAGAGAGAAAATTACAAAGTGGATATCGCGTACCTTGTGTAGAACCGGGTTGCGAAGTCGAAGATGGGTGGGATGGCAGAATCACCTACGAGCAAATGTAGTCTTTTAAATAGGATGAAGGTTTATGGGCACGGGAAGAGGTGCGGGGAAGGGGAGGATTGGTAGGTAGTGGGGGGGTAGGGATGTCCGTGGGTAAAGGGGCATGGGGAGGAACGGGTAATGGGGCAGCAAGGGAATCTGTGGGAGGCGTGGAAGGGGAGGAAGGTGGAGGAGGGTGAGGCGTCGGGGCAGGAAGGGGTGGGTTATATGTAAAGTCCAGAGGGGGTGGGATGGGTAGGGTAGGGGAAGAGGATGGGATAGGAGGGTGAGAAACGACATAAGGGAAAGTAGTTTCGTGAAAGATGACGTCTCGACTAGTGAAAATGCGGTGATTGTCGAGATCGTAAAGGGTATAGGCCTTTTGTCCATGAGGATAACTGAGAAAAATGCAACGATGAGCCCGAGGGGAAAATTTGGTGGTGGGAGTGACAGAGGTGGCATATGCCAGACAACCAAAGACGCGGAAGTGGTCATAAGATGGGGTTTTCGAAAAGAGAACCTCAAATGGGGATTTATGATGGAGAAGACGGGTAGGGAGACGATTGATGAGATAAGTAGCGGTAAGAACACATTCCCCCCAAAACTTGATAGGAAGATGGGATTGAAAACGAAGGGCGCGAGCGGTTTCAAGAAGATGACGATGTTTTCTTTCAACAACGCCATTTTGTTGGGGGTATAAACACAAGAAGTTTGTAAAAGCACCCCATGATCAGAGAAAAAACTACGAAGAGATAAAAATTCACCACCATTGTCAGTACGAATGCATTGGATGGTAGTGCGGAACTGGGTAGTGACATAAGCAAAAAAATCCTTAATTAATTGTTGAGTGTCGGATTTATGTTTCATGAGGAAGACCCACATAAAGCGAGAAAAATCATCCACAATGGTTAAGAAATAATGAGCACCAGAAAAAGAAGATTGACGATTCGGGCCCCAAATATCACAATGAATTAAAGCAAAAGGGAAAGTTGATGAAATTGAACTCAAAAGAAAAGGTTGACGAGTTTGTTTTGCCAACGGACAAACATCACAAATATGACTAGAATCAAAAGTACAATTAAGAGAGTTAGATGCTAAAGCTTGCAAACGAGTGGAGGAGGGGTGACCAAGACGCCTATGCCAGAGGCAGAAGGGGATGGTAATGATGTTGCAGAGAGGTTGACGGGTGGGGAGAGAAGAGGTAAGGGCCACAAGGTAATACAGATCGCCACGTCGCTTACCCACACCAATCATCGCCTTCGAAACCAAGTCTTGCAAAACACACCAAGAAGGAAAGAAGGTTATGGAACACGATAATCCATCTGTAAGTTTACCAACCGATAAAAGGTCCACTCGGAAATTAGGGACACATAAAACATCCTTCAAAGTAACTGATGAATTTAAAGGAAGAGTGCTGGTAAAAGTAATGGGAGCGGAAACACCATTAGGCAAAGAAACAGGCGGCAAATGTGAAGGAGAACGATTAACCAAACATGAGGCGGAAGAAGTAATATGATCCGTAGCACCACTGTCAAGAATCCATTGACCATGACGAGAGGTGACAGGTAACAAACCTTGGGCAAAATCAGTAGTGAGCACGGCATTGGCCTGAGGAGGGGTGATGGTGTCACGTAGAGCAGCTAGAACACGGGAGTGCTGCTCGGCAGAGAGGTCATGCATGGCAAGCTGCAAGTCATGCAAAGTGGGCTGGGCCCCTTGCACTTAGTGCGTCGCTGGAGTAGAAGAGGAGGCGGGGGCCTGGGTGCCTTGCACGTGATGGGCCTGGATGAAATTATGGGGCCGGGAAGCAGAAAACAGTGGCTGCCGGGGAGGACTGGAAGGTGCATAGCTGCAGGAAGAACTGGAAGCAGTGGCACCGCGCGGTGGTCGCCACGGTTGGCCATGTAGGGGATGGCCAACGGGATAGCCATGAAGTTTATGGCAGGTGTCTTGGGTATGATAATCAAAATTGCAGTAGGTGCAGTGGAGGGGAGGACGAGCAGAGGAGGGACGGGACGGGCCACGAACAGCCATGGCAGCAGGTTGATCGACAGAGCGGAGGACGCCCAAGGAGCGTTGTTTTTCAGCTTGAGACACCGAGGAACAGGCCTGACGAACAGTGGGAAGGGGATTCATTAAAAGAATCTGGTCACGAACAGCAGCAAAGGATTCGTTGAGGCCCATTAAAAATTGCATGAGTTGTTGACGGTCATGCTTGGCGTTGCAAGAGCACGTGCAGCCATCATTATAAGAAGCAAGCTCATCCCAGAGAGCTTTTAGGCGAGTAAAATAGGTGGAGATAGAAGAAGAACCTTGAGAAATTGTAGCAAGTTCCCGGTTGAGTTGGAAGATGCGTGGAGCATTACTCTGAGAGAAGCGTTCGCGAAGATCATCTCATACAGCTTGGACAGAGGTGGAAAAAAGCACAGATTCTTGAAGGTCAGGTTCCAAGGAATGCAGAAGCCAAGAGAGAATCATGTCATTGCAACGACGCCAAGCCGCGTGAGCATCAGGGTCGTCGGAGGAAGAAGGTTC